AGCAGATCTCAAAATGCAGCCCACCAACTCCCAGGATCCCCAGGACCCTTTGGCTGGGCCACTACTCTCCTGAGGGTCAAAACCACTTTCATAATATCAAGATGTTATTTGGCTTTTTTCACTTTTGTTCTCTCATGAGTGTACAGTGGAGTTTCCAGAGCCTATGTGATGTGTGATATTACAAGAGACTGAACGCAGAAGCAGCTGTGAGAAGCAGATGACTTTTAATACATCAGACATTAGAGATTTGCAAATATGTAAAACAATGCCACTCCCTCACTAAATTATTGTTTGAAAAATAGTTCTCTTTCACTAAAATTATGTCAACATGTAATGGATTTAACACTACTCTTTTTAAATGAATTAAATATTAAACAATTTTCTCAGTTAACTTTTAACACAGTAAATAGTGATATAAACCACATAAACAGCTCTTTAGAAGCCTCAACAATTTGTAAGAGCATCTTGAGAGGCTCTTGAGAAGAAAAAGTTTAAGATCACTGATCTAGCCAATCTAAACTGTTCAGTGTTCCTAGTCTCTGACATTAAGACACTTTTTCCCAACACAGCACGTTATAATTCAAAAGAACTGATGTAAAAAAGGTAATAAAAAGTTTAAAAATAAGTAGTACCGAGCCAGGTATGTGTTTCTTTTTGAAATTACATTTCCTAATTTGTAACTCATAACATTTGTTTCTAAGTATTACCTTCTACTCTAAACCATTCCTAAAATTGCCTCTGTATTTCGAGACAATAGCCAAAGGTGGTAACAAAAGAGGTTCCTCAAAGAAACTCCAGGTTCAAGCTGTGTATTTCAACATTTCTTTATTAAACCATGTATACTACAAAAATATTAAAAAACTGTAAGAATTTACACGAAGATTACCAAGACTGATATCATTAGTTCAATATGAGGCTTCATATACTGAAACACTTCATCTTCATTATAGAATACAGAACCTTATTGTTTTTGGCTGTGTCATGCAGCATGCAGGATCTTATTTCCCCGACCAGGGATCGAACCGGGACCCACTGCAGTGGAACCGTGGAGTCATAACCACTGGACTGCCAGGGAGGTCCCAGAACCTTGTTTTTGAAAAGCTAAATAAAAAAGTCTACCTAATTTCAAATCTGTTCCATGAACATGTCTTTAATAATCACTTGACATACTTTTAGGTGTTATACTAATAGCAAATAATTTAACAATAACTTTAACAAAACTAATTTTGTTCAACTCAAAAAAAAAGTATAAAATTCTGGTCAGTTGTTTTTTTTGGGTTTTTTTTACTTACACCGTAAAGGTTATATATAAATTACTGGAATCCCTGCTCTCAAGCATCTGGAGTATCCCTATATACAATCAAATAATGTAAGTATAAAATGTTATTGTTGGGAATTCCCTGGCAGTCCAGTGGTTAGTACTCAGCGCTTTCACTGCCGGGGCCCAGGTTCAATCCCTAGTGGGGGAACTAAGATCCCACAAGCTGCATGTGGGGCCAATAAAAAGAGTTATTGTTAAACTATTAAATGTGCAAGGAAAAAATGTAGACTTCACCATAACAAAGAGGACTACTAGCTTTGGTTACTATTAGATTCAACCATCATTCATTCTGAGTCTCCACTACAAGCCTGGCACTATTCTAGGCACTGGGGATACAATGAACAAAAAAATTAATAATTTTTAATTTTCATGGGACCTGCATTCTGCTGTGGGAAACAGACAAAAATAAACACAAGAATTAGAAATGTGGTCAATGCCATTAAGGAAACAAACAAGGCTTTGCCACAGATTAGTCTTTGAAAGCTGAATTGTAGAATTCTAAAACCTAAAAATAAAAAATTCATTAAGAGTTAAATCAAGATGACATGGACTGGGCTTCCCTGGTGGCACAGTGGTTAAGAATCCGCCTGCCAATGCAAGGCACACGGGTTCAAGCCCTGGTCCGGGAAGATCCCACATGCCAAAGGGCAACAAAGCCCATGCGCCACAACTACTGAGCCTGTGCTCTAGAGCCCGTGAGCCACAACTACTGAAGCCCGCGCGCCTAGAGCCGGTGCTCTGCATCAAGAGAAGACACTGCAATGAGAAGCCTGCGCATGGCAATGAAGAGTAGCCCCTGCTCGCCGCAACTAGAGAAAGCCCATGTGCAGCAACAAAGACCCAACTCAGCCAAAGATAAATAAATTAATTTAAAAAAAGAAAAAAAGATGACATTGACTCTACAGACCTTTGCTAATGCATAAGAAAACTACAGACACTGCCTGTGAAAACAGAGATCCGTCTTTCCAAAGCTACTGGATGGTATTACTTAGCAATGTAGTAGGCCTCAAAAGATAATTAAGCTCACAGTTCCACAGAATTAAAAAGCATGTAAACACAATACTAAAAAAAACTAAGAGGAGCCTAAGGAGACAGGACAACCAAATGTACTGTGGTATCCTGAATTGAATGCTGAAACAGAAAAAGATAAAAATTACGGAAATCTGAATAAACTACAGACTTTAGCTAATAATGCATCAATATTGTTTCATTAATGGTAACAAATGTACCTTACTAATATGTTAATAATATGGGATATTGGGTGGAGCTATATGGGAAACCTCTGCATGATCTTCTTAATTTTTCTGTAAATCTAAAACTGTTCTAAAAAATCAAGTCTACTTAAAAAAAAATCTAAGATGGCTTCAGGAATTATGGTGGAAGGAAGGGGAGTTAGTAAAGACTTGAAGAAACTAAGAAATGAGAAGCCATAAAACTCTGCAATGTGAATTAGAATATAAATACCCAAGAAATTCAAAGGAAACCTGCAGATACTTAAATTATGATTTCTATTCATACTAAAAACTTCCTAGGACAGAGATTAATGGATTTTTCATGCAAACTAAATAGCTCTGCATCACAATGTAAGGCAGGCATTAACATCCCTGAGTGCACAATAAGCACTTTAGATCCTATTTATCAATAATGACCAATAGGCTGTATTTTATGTATGTCACTGTCCTGAAACTGTCATAAAATACCTGCACAGGGATCAATCTCATGTCTTATTAAGTCACTTGAAGAAACAAGTTTATACCTGCATAGCAAAAAAAAGCAAAGAGGAGACCTGGTAAGAGGGCAGGGAGAAAAGATTATGTATGAAAGGAGAAAAACAATTTATCAGGTCTAACTGGAAGCAATTTTGCAACTATTATTTTTTTTTTTAATTTTATTTAATTTTGGCTGCACTGGGTCTCCGTTGAGATGCGCGGGCTTCTCATTGAGGTGGCCTCTCTTGCTGCGGTACGTGGGCTTCAGGAGTTGTGGCATACGAGCTCAGTAGCTGTGGCTCGCAGGCCCAGTAGTTGTGGCCCACAGGCTCAGTTGCCCCGCAGCATGTGGGATCTTCCCAGACCAGGGTTTGAACCCGTGTTCCGTGCATTGCAAGGCGGATTCTTAACCACTGCGCCACCAGAGAAGCCCTGCAACTATTATTAACCTACTTTAAAGCCACACAAATTAGTATAAATAGTTCAGAGCAGTAATAAGAGCTCTGAATTTATATCAGTTATCTACTTTCCAATCAAAAGAAATAAATGTCTTCTATAGCCTAACCTAAAACACCTATCATGTAACTCAATGTCTGATGACTTGGGAGGAACTAATCTCTTAATGTCTCAATTTTAAAGATAGGAAAAGTGTGAGAAAAATAATGGAGGATGATAATCTCTAAACTACAGAGTGTGAAGTTTGCATAATACAGCATAAAATTGGAATTACCACAAGAAGTAATTTTTAGAGACAACTATCAGAAAATTAGAACCTTATACCCAACACAAAGTACAATGACAGCAGGAGCCTGACCAAGTAAATGAGATAATAATTTCACTCATCAGATACTATGGAATAGTAACCATAAAAGAATCATTTAGCCAAAATGGTATTACATATTCGAATCGAATTTAGATAACTGGATGATGAATCTTTCCCTTCTCTACTCTGTTACTCCCTATCCCCAAAGGAAACCCTACAAAACAAAGATGTTCGTTATTCTAAAGCCTTCTCTCCTTAAGGAATCCTGAATATATAATTGGAAAATACTCAAGAAGAAATGGAATTAACATTTCTCCAGTAATTCCTGTTTGCACCGCCGTGAGGAGAATCAGACACTGCGCTTCGTGTTGAAGCAGAAAAAGGAGAGGTGAGATGCGAAAAATTCCAAGTAAACCGATCGTGACATAGCATCTGTCAGAGATTGGAAAATCATGAACACAGCCAAAAGAATCGCCAGGGATTAAAGTCAAGCGAAGAAAACGAGGTTTTCCAACAGGCCACAGCCTAACCCAAGGGGCAAAACCCTCTACTGCCGCCGTCACTCCCTCACTCCCCAACCATTCCATCAAGTCGCCTCCAATTCAGATATGTTGCTTCTATAACCCAGACCCATTCCCCACCTAGGTGAAAACAATCCAAGAATTTCCTAGGACTCCCCCCCACTTCCATAAGATCCGCGCTTCTCGGGGCCAAGCCTCTGGGGAAAACAACGCCCAGATCCCACCCTCCCGGCGCAAGGTTGAAGAGGGCCGGTTCCCCGGAGTGGGGCTTGCCAGGTGGGCCTCATCGAGCTGAGCAACTGGGATCAGAGCAAGGAACAAGGGTGGGGCTCAAGGAAGGGAGCTGGCGTCGGTGACACGACGGAGACCGGAGGAAGAAAGGGATGGACAGGAGGCTGGGGCTGGGCGGAGTGAGGAATGGGGAGGGCAGATCCACGGGAGAGGGCCGGGCGGCGGGGAAAGGAGCGGGCGGAGTGGGGGGCGGAAGGGTCAGAATCCGATCGACGGATCATGGCGAAGAGGAATGCGTGGCTAACAGGGGTCGGCAAACAGGCTCAAGGGCTAGGGGGTGGAAGGAAGCGCGACCACGAGGCCCGCAGGGAGCCTCCGCGGACAGAAGGGCCGCACTGGGGGCGGTGCGGGGAAGCCACTGCCAGCTACCAGTAGTGGGGGAGCTGCGCACTCACCGCTCTGCTCCCCCAGGAACACCAGCTTGAATTTCCTCAGCGGATTCCCGAAGTCTCCGCCCGCGGACATGATGGAGCCGGAGGAGCTGCCGCCGCCTCAGCCCAGAGACCTCCCAGACCGACGCCGCTCCAACCGGTTCACGGGGAGGCTAGAGGAAGGGTCGGCGCCGAGCTCTCTCGGCCCCTGCAGGGCCCGGCAGCGGAGCAAGGCTGGAGAACAAGGCTCCTCTCACAGACAGGCAGCCGTCGCCGCCGCCTCTCCTCGCAGTCGCCTAACACCGAGCGAGGCCCGCAGCTGGGAAAGGAAGGAGGGCGGTGTCGGAAGCAGCCAGGGGTGTGCTCGGGGGTCCCGAGGCTAGAGCTGTTCCCCTCTCAGCACCCGGCACCGAGACTGAGGCGAGGGTGGCGGAGCCAGAGCCGCAGACGCGTCTGGGACCTCTCACACGCAGCGTTCCAGCTCCACAGCTGCCGCCACCGCAGCCCAACCTGCTGAGTGCGCGAGCCTGTGGCGCGGCGC